AACCGGAAATTGACAGCCTCGAAGGGTTTGGGGCTGTCAATTTCTCGTTTGTAATCTAAAATGACTGAAAATTGCAAATTTCGCAAGGCTATATTTTCCGCATTTTACAACATTTTGCAACGAAACTTTGGAATATTACTAATTTTGTAATGCTCTTTCAATTTCATCTATACTTCTTATCGGTTTAATTCAGTCCCACTCAAATATTGAGTTTCAGATTTGGGATACAATATAGAAGCTCAGATTTGACTTCCACTACCGCCACCACTATACCAGTAATTGGCTAGCACGCATCTGACTGGTTAATCCAATATCAAACGTATCTGATTGGTTGATTGCTTCTTAATGGTAGAGATAGTGGAAGTCAAATCTGAACCTATAGTTATATTGCCGTTTTAATTTTTTAACCTCGAACTGTAATTTTAGTGCATTCAGTTATTTCATGTAATCACCTTATAAATAAAAAATATACATAAATAAAATAAACAACAAGAAAAAAGCAGTCAAAACCGACAGACTATTTTTTGCTTGCGCATGACGTCACTACGAGTCATTAGGCGCCATCTTGGTTGATTTTAAATTTTCGTTAAGCCTTTTACAGCGAAGTAGTTGAGTTAATTTAACATTTTCCAGTTTGTTTTGAAAACACGTTTCTGTATTATGGATAGTTTACAGTCTTTGGCTCAATACGACAAAGAATGAAGAGTATGAATTTTATAGTTGCCACATGTATTTTGAAAGTCAACCAATATGGCGTCGATTGCAAACGAGCAATAGCGTCCTGAATTTGAGAATTTCGCCGTTCAACAATTAGCAATTATTAGCAGACCAACATGCGTTTGTTTTCCTGCATTTACTCCCGTTTCCTACAAGCTAAGATGGTGCCTCGATTGCCAATTATGAATAAGATTTATTGAGTTTCATTAACAATTGAGTAATGTTTGATGATAAGATTTGCGTATGTAGTTTACGCCCGTTGTACGATTTGATTTTAAACAGGGCCGTAACTAGACGCGGTAAATGGGGGAGGGGCATATTTATATATTCGTGTTCTGCCCGACGGATTTCTTTTGAAAGCGATTGTGAAATTTATGACGGTGTTGTTTGCCGTTTTTCCCAAGCTCACCGCTTTTGACTCGAGAAGGCATTTACAAATGCAGTTCTTGCTTACATGCATCAATCTCCTTTGCCTTTAGACTGATTTGCTTAGCATTGTCAGTGGCATTTGTTTTTGCCTGCAGTACAGAGTGGAAATTTTCAACCGGGTACTCATCAAATGCAACCAATGCTTGACGAAGTGAGTGGTACTGTACATAGGATGGTTGTTCTCTTGCCAATACGTGAATGTAGATAGAACTACCAACAGCACCTTGTCATAATGACGCCTTTAGAACATCATGAACATAACTCAACAGCGCAACTCAGACTTGCAATACAAATCATAGTCATTACACCTAAACACGATCGAATAGATGCTTAACAAAAGTGGCACGTAATTATCAATAAGGTTGACGAGGGTAAGGAACTCAATTTCTTTACAGTGACAGAAAACTGACCGAATACTTTCACGAACAAGTGTCCAGCCAATTTTGCCTTTTTTCCAAACAGGAGGGAATACAGCTCTGCAAAGATAGGATGGAAATGCTTCAGGACACATTCCCGTGAATTTAAGGAAATATGCAAGGGACCCATCAGTGGCACAACATTCTGACAAATGGTAGGTAAGGAAACTTGATGAGCCAAATTATAAACCAGTTGTCGCATGAAGAACTGTGTAGGCCAGTTCCCCATGAATGGAGGCAGAAAATTGCTGAGGTAGATTTCCAAACCATTGGAAAGCATGTGCTTAAATACAGTGAGAGGTTCTTCGTATGATTTCAAAGGCAAATGGAGGCTGTCAATTAATTTGGTGTTTTCCATATATCTCATTTTCTGTATTTTTGTTTGCTGGTAGTCGTGTAACAGGAGTCGGTGTCGTTCAGCTTCAGGGTCGAAGTACTTGTCTAGCACCCAATCTGGCATATTTGTGGCATAGCTCTGTGATAGACCAGCCATATTGCTACCAATTTGTCGAGACAACTGTTCAGGCTGAACAGGCGCGGGAGGTAACAAAGGTGTGTGAAGACCTTCCTTCGAGATGGCTTCAACATTTGGGAACACTTTTACTAACGACATGCTCATATGAACTGCTTGTGTTTGTGTTTTTGCTTCAGGACGATTCTTTGCGTGAATGTTATGGTAGTCATCTATGCAGAACACAAGAAAATGTTCATTTTCCACCACTTCCTGGACGAAACTGGTAACATTATCCTAATGAAAAGCGGCAGATCAGATTGTGTTGCAGCCTTGACCGTACGGAGATGTGCTGCTGCTCCAAGATTCCTTAGGGATGCCAAGCCTTGGTCGCTTATACCAAATTGCTGGAGTGTTCCGGAAAGTGTTATCTGGAACCACTTAGCACTTTGAGAATGTGAGTACATCATAATGTATATCACCACCATTGTGCGAAGTTTGGTAAAATGTCTTTCATCTGACATTCTGTTCGAGCTCATTGCATCAAATAAAACTTTAAACAGCTCTTCTGCACCGACCTGCTTGCAATTTTTTTCAAATTCACTGGGATCATTTCCAGACATTGGTTGAAAACACTTGAAAAATAGCAACATAATTTATCCAGATCTTTCTTGAAGCCTGTTGACGTAGCTGTTTATACTCATCCTTGGAAAAAAATACTTTCATCTGTTTGGACCTTTTTCTCATGGTAGGTTTTAGATGTTCCTGCATAATCGGCCTCCTCAAAATTTGAAGGCACTTTTGGAGACAATCACTGCAAACGTTTGTCACTGCTGGTGACATTCTTCCTTTAAAAACTTTTCAAACGTGTTTGCCAAATCCGACAAACCATTCCTGCGATTGTTAATCCATTTCCATTTTCAACACTTCCCCACTTTTCGTGAAAGTAACGATTATTACACGCTCTGGGATATTTAGGCATTTTAGCTCTGACAAAAGCTGTAGAGTGTTGTCTTGTTGAGAAATTGTGTTCGAAAAAAAGTTGATTCTATTAAAAGTTTAGTTTTTGGCGCGAATTACGTTGAGTGATTTGATTGGCTGTTGCAAAAGTTAGAAGACAGTAAACATCACATTTATCGTTTACAAAGTTTATAAAGCGGACAGTCTTGACCATTTAATAAGCCTGCAAGAGGAGAATTAATATTTTAGAATGTGGTACATAGTCATAGTATGTACGCCAGTCACTGACAGTTGTATTGAATATTTATATGGGACTGCTAACATATTTTTAAAGTTTCTTAGTTTCAGAATAATTCTCATTTGAGGGAAACTTTTAAAAACAGCGCACTGTAAGCTTGGTCGGCGAAAGTGAATTTTACGTTGTCTCTTTGCGTGCGCCGTTGTTCGAATACCGGTAATTTTAAAACTACGCCATTAAACACAAATCTCAGCGGCAAATTTTTCGAAAATTTTATGTTACTTGATTCAGTTACATTCAATAAAAACAAATAAAAATCCTGACCCCCTCCCTCCAAGGCTTTATTTAAGACCCTTTTTTCGCATTGAAATTTGTGTTTTAACCGGAAGTAAACAACATTTACGCATTGTAGTAACTTAGATACTACCCTGGAGCCAGAGGGTATTTATTTTCGCCTGTAAAAACCTCTGGGCCAGGGTACTTATATACTAATATAATATGTATATTCAAGGAAGACAAGCTCTTCGCTTAATGAGGGGTCCTGCTACCAAAAGAATTTTTAAAAATGCAAAAAAAATTTTTTGGGTCTTAAAATCATTATTAGTATGTGTAGGTGTCTGTGAAAGCAAAAATAGGCCTAGTAGAACTTTGCTTTCTCACAGAATTTCATCTTTTTGAAAGGGTAGGCAACCATTTTTCACGTTGCCATGGAAACGGGTTAGTGTATTTTATTTGTTATGCCTTGTTTCTTGGTTGTTTGTGGGCGGTTTGAATTTTTTTTGCTGATTATGCAAATCCACAACCTGAGGGACTGGTAACAAGTTAAGGCCTGGTCGCATAGCTATTCTAGACCACCACATTTTTCTTCACTGTTCGAAAACATTGCTATATAGAACTGAAAACACATCAAAGATTCACACTTTGTTTGTATTTTATTTTATTTTGTTGCCTGTTAGTATCTGAAAATAGTCTCTTAGAGATTATATTTCTTTTGCAATGCCAAAAGTGTAAAAAAGCGGCAATTTCGTGGCCAGAGTCGATGGGATGTTGGCACATCAAATTCAAACAACAGCGTGTACACCACCAGTGCTTGCTGCTGTATGAAAGGTAACGAGTCAGAGTAATGAAAGAAGCGAAGATTTTGATGGGGTCACACAGCTATAGACTGAGCTGTCAAATTTAGTCAGTGCGTTTCAGCCTTTACATCAATTGGCATCTGGAGGAGAGTTGAGAGTAAGCGAAGACGAGGCCTGTAGATTGGGAATAGCTCAGTGATCAATGTAGAGTCTTCCAAATGCGACGTCAAGATCGAGCTTTCAACCCCTGGGAACAACAACCAAGTGTGGAAACCCCAAAATACCATGGACACAAACAGGCATATGGTTTACTCAGGAATGGAGATGGGTGTAGGAAGAGAGGCTATGTCAGTTATGTGTGACATTTTCAATATGCCCCCCCCCCCTTGCCATCATAAAGTTTGGGACCAACATGTTGCTGCGTTGTATGTGGCCCACAAGAAAGCTGTTACGGAACAGTTACAGAAGACGAGAAACAAAGTGTTTTCACTTCATTGCTCTGATGAAACTGATGTCGCAGAGATTGTGGTGAGCTATGATGGTACGTGGTCCAAACGAGGATACACAGCTAAATATCGGGGTTGGTTATGTCATCTCGGTTAAAGCTGGCGAAGTGCTTGATTTCAATTTTGAGGTGAAGCTGTGCTCAGAGTGTACATCAGCAAAGAAGGATCTTGGTGAAGATTCTGCTGAGTATGCCATTTGGTACGGTGGGTGATGATGACTTTGATGATGAAGATGACTATCCGTTAGCCAGATTTGCTCGTAATGATGAGTCTAATGACACTGGTGATGCACCATTGGCTCAATTTGCCAGTAGAAATCAAGAAAAGTGACTGTGACATTCTTGCATTGATAAGTGTTGACTTTGGACAGGTACATTGCACCCAAACATCAGAAAACACTAGCAACAATGTTTACTAACTTTAAATGGCGTTTTCCCAAAAACCGTTCTTTGGCTAGCAGCCGTTACTTAAATCCTATCTTCTCGAAGAGTATTTAAGCAATCTTCCTGATTTTTTCTGAGATTGTTCTTTGGATGTTTTTGCACAAATTAATGGATGCTTTTTACACTCTAATCAAAATTGAATGTTCTACACCAAAATTGGTATTGATGAGTAAGATCCTTACCTAATACTTGTTGCCATGGCAACAAAATAGAGAGTTAGACAAAAA